AACCTAAATCTCTCATTCTGTCCAGCTCTACACCACTACTCTGGTCTAGCAAATTAAGAGTGTTGACAGCCTGCACAGTTTCCTCCTTGGTTGCTCCTCTGTTGTCTTGCCCTTCTTGAATCCACTGACCCCCATGACATCCAGGGTAACAATACAATTAAAACACCAGTCTGATCCGGGCACTCCCCTGCTCCTCAAAGCTCACACACTTTAACCTGTGACCAACACAGTCTGGCCTGACCCAGCGCCTGCCTGCCTCTCATATTACTCTCTCCCCCTGGTTAGCCTCCCAGTGAATACTATTTCGTTTCTCTTTCTGACCTGGGCCTTCACACATACCATTCCCTCTTTCTGGAACTGCTTGCCAGCTTAATTCCTGTCCATCCTTTGGGCGTCCCTGAGCAAAACTATCCCAACCTCCACACTTTATCAGGTCGCCCTGCTATACTCTCCCATGGCATCCTGTATATTTGCTATTAAGCATTCAGTGGTATGATTGCTAATGGTTGGTTCTCCTATACTCTGAACTCCATGGGAAGTTTTGCAAGCTTCTTGCACATAGTAGGTATGCATATTTCTTGATGCATGAACACATGAAATTCAAGTCATCATTTAACTGGCCTGGAGCGCTTTGCACTCTGAGACAATCCACCAGAAAGTTACAATGCTTAAACACTTGAATTTGGTAGGGTAATTTATTAAGATTTCCTTATAGTTGAGGTGGGCATTTGTTGATGCCCTTTTAAACCTATATAATTTTACTAACCAATGTCACCCCAATAAATTTAATAAAATTNGTGCTGGGCCTCATTGAACCCAGGGACCACGCCCTATTGCTGCTGCACTGGAAGGTAAATCACCTTTAGGGACCAAGAAGTTTTACATAGAAAAATGAAGAACTTTCAAAACCAGTGAAGGTTTTTACTGCAGGGAATCAGGATGGTGTAGAGAAAAGAGTATGTATATTAGAATGACAGATCCGAATCCAAACCTCACCTTGACCACTCTGAGCCTCAGTTTCTTTACCAGTAAAATGATGATAATAAGTCAACAGACCTCGCCAGGTTATTTTATGGATCAAAGGAGAAAAAGTGTGCAAAGAGCTTGATGAATTCTGGCATGCAGGAGGTGCTCCACACCCTGTAGTTATTAAATAACCCTTGGTATCTCAAAGGTCTACATGAGGAAGAAAAAAGCTTAGGTAATTTAAAAAGAAAAGAGTTGTCTGGGTTCATAAGTTGAGGTGGTATGTACAACTTCAAAGGTTTCACCAAGACAGAATTTGCTTGAGTGGAGCAGTATGACAGAATATTTGAAGATATTCTCTGAGACATTTGAGAAAAACAGTGCTCCTACAACTGGTGACTATGAAGCATAGTACATACAAGGGTATAATTAGATAAAAACAGAGCAGTAGATAAATGGATCTGGATTGTCTATGGTTGGTGCTGACTAGCTGTAAGGTCTCAGGAAAGTTACTTAACCACTCTGTGCCTCAGTTTTCTCATCTGTAAAACGATTAAACAAATTATTTTACATTCATGCAATAGAATATTATATAGACTATTGACAGCAACATCATGTTCAGAGTTTTCTTTTAAGAGCATGATATAAAGTTGTATATAAATCATCAACACCAGAAATTAAGAGAGAATGAGAGAAAGAGAGAGTGAGAGAGCACCCCAAAAGAGAAATGCCTGGAAGGAAATATTAATAGTGGTAGCTCCTGGGTGGTATATGAGTGATTTTTTTTATTCTGGCTTAAAAATTCTCTACAATGAATATCATTGTTTTTATAATCATTAAAATTAACTTACAGAAAAAAATTAAAGTAAAAACGAGAAGAAGTAAAAATGAAAATGCCTACAAAGGCATGTGATAAGACCTGTAGGTGGCGCTGCGGAAACCTTAGTGAAATGGCAGGTGTGCGCCACACCCAGGGGCAGCCCTGCCCAGGCTCCCTCACAGAAATGCTGCTCCAGGGTTGTGAGAGCTTCCTACCCCACGCCCCACCACCCCCAGGGCAGACTAATTCTGTATTTTAATGTGAAATGTCCTAATACTTGTGACAACTAATTACACATCTTTAAATACAATGTTCAGGCCAAAAACAATAAATTTGTGGGCGGGTTGCAACCCGCTCATTTTAATATCTGCATTTGAACTATTAGAAGAAATGAAGGAAGAAACCAAGGAGGGAGGAAAAAAGCTATTTCACAACAGGAGTTATCCTCAGTGTCATTTAAATAGCAAACCCTGCAGTTCAACAGAAACATGATTTGATTGAAAACAATGTTCGAAGTATACATTATTTGTTTAGGGATACATTCATCGCTGAAGATAAGCATGCCTATTTT